GGCCATCGTTGTTACCGCTGTCGATAATGATCGTTTTCTTTCAATATTATATTCAAACAATGCCATCATTGGACTTGATATTAATATTATTGATGAAATAATTAGAAAAAATATTCCTAAATTACCGGTAAAATAGAAAATTTTTTTAGAAATCTTCCAGGAAACTTTCTCAAAATACAAACCAGTACCAATAATAAGATTATAATGACTAGTATGAATAATATTACAAATTAAAATGATACCAATAATTAATAAAATAATACCAATTATAAATGAACACCAACAACTATGACATAATGTAAAATGACAACATTTTCTAAATGATTCTAATTGATTACGATGTGTTTGTACATTGAACAAACGTTGTGGATAGAATTTCATTATTGATCGTAATTGGTTCGGTTCGGTTGATTGATTGTTTTTCGATATTCAAGAAATTTCAGTTATTTAACCAACGAATTTCAAAATCAAAAAAAAAAAATTCTCTGTTTGTTTATGGGAAACAAACATTGATTCGAGAATAGCCTAAACACACACACAGAAACAGATTGGACAATTGGAAACAAAATATTCAAATCAAATTTCTTTTTTTCAAATGTTTCTGTTGTTGTTGTTGTTTGGTTGCTATGCTTAATCATCATCCTCACGTTAATTAATTAATTAGTGACATTGAAAATTCGATGATTCATTCATTCATTCATTGATTTACAAATTTGGTTAACCGAAAAACAAAAACAAAAAAAAAATATTCAAATTTATTCAATCATTTCGGGTTTCTAAAATAAATTTATTTTCAAAATAATAACAAAAAAAAAATTCATCAAATTAGTAACGGATAATCAAAAAAGTATAAAAATCAAAAATCAAAAGTAAAAATCAAATCAAATGATGATTTAGCGGAAAATAAACAATGAAAATCAATGAAAATAACAACATTAATAATGATAATGAATTTGAATTCAAATTAACACCACCGGCACCATTTTGACATTCTTTACTATCGATTGGCCAACGAATACAACCTTGTACAATACGTTCATGAATGATTTGAAAATATTTTCGTACATCATTGTGTTGACATTTTGATTCATTCAACATAAAACGTTGTAAACATTGTTCCCATTTCCATGTAGCACAACAAGTAGTAAAATTTGTTGGCCATTGTAATTTATTTATATCAAGATTATATTCATGTGTTGGTTCTAACCAACAAGTCCATTCAGTACCGATTATATGAAAATAACATTGTTGAAATTCATCATTGGTTGGTTTTTCAATATCATCCCAGAATTTTTTTGATGATAATTTTCGAGAATAAAGGTCATCAATAGTATCTTGGTTATTGATTTGAGCATCAATAATTTTCAATGAAATAATTAGCAAGAAAAATTGATAAAATATAGCAGAATTCATTGTTGATTGATTGATTGATTGTCACTGGTTTTGCTAATGGATTGAATAATGAAAATGTGTCAGGTTGCTTTTTGCTCCAAAATCAAAGTTAAAAATGAGAATTTTCAACAGAAAAAAAACGTATCCTTTATCAAACAAAGAAGAAGAGTGTATCATGGATATTAATCCCAGTATAAAAATTTCAAACATTCTTATGGATTAACGGTGGTTTTGATTAGAGATAATTATTTCTTTTTAAAAAATTTGATGACACTTTATGTTGGCAATAACCAAATAGTCATTCCAAATTCTCATCAAAAAAAAATGAAAATCATTCGATTCGATTTTTATTTTTTTGGGCCATGGATCAATTTGGTCATTGGTTTTGTTTTTTTTTGCTACGGAAACTTTCTCTATCTGTTTTTCTAATTTATTTTTTTGTCAAATGATAATCAATTTCCGTATTGAGATTATGTTGATTAATTGATAAAAAATCAATAAAATCAATGAAATTTCAAACACACAAAAAACTATATTAACCTAAAAACGAACATTGTGTTTAAATAGTGATGAAAAAAAAAAGAATTTTTTCTTTGGATTCCGTTGACCGCCACTTGTTGACATGTTTTGATCGTTCCTTTTTTGGATTAAAATAATTTTACTAAATCGCCGATCTAAATTCCGATTATTCTAACTTTGTGAATCATCATCATCGAAAAAATCAATGCAAAATTTGATTGACGCAGCACCATCTATAAAAAGAAAAAACATCAAAAATCATCGTCATCGTTTATATACAGGTACACAATATATAAATCGTATCGTTTATATGTGCCACTTCTTCTTCGAAAACGAGGGGAAAAACACAAAAATTTTCGATGGGGATCTGGTATGCAACAATAACAACAAAAACAACACTAACTGACTAACCAAATCGCAAAAACCATCGATGGTTATAGAGCTTATTATTATTATATTTACCTGATAAAAGTGACACTGGGCGAGTTAAAATTTCAGTTTTATTATTTTTTATTATTGTTGTTGTTTTTTTCTGTTGTAATTGAGATATTTGAAACGTTTATTTATTACTTTCTATTAATTAAAATCGATGATCGATACGAAAACAAAAAAAAAATGTCGCAAGGATCCAGTTCGAAAAGGTTTCAACAAACGCAAGCTCAGGTACGTTTGATGCGATTGATTTTGGGATTTTATTTGTTTTAATGTTTTTTATTGTTTTTGTTGCGATTCAGGTGGACGAAGTGGTTGGTATAATGCGTACAAATGTTGAAAAAGTATTGGAACGTGATCAAAAATTATCCGAATTAGATGATCGTGCTGATGCATTACAACAAGGAGCTAGTCAATTTGAACAACAAGCCGGTAAATTGAAACGTAAATATTGGTGGCAAAATCTTAAGGTGATCTTAATCAATTCTATGTGTTTTTTCCAATATCGTTTAATTATGTTTCTGTTTTCCCCTCACCCAAATTAGATGATGCTCATACTTGGTCTAATCGGATTGGTCATATTGATCATTATCATAGGTAATCTATCATAATAGCCTGCTTCTTTCCTCTATCTTTTTATTCTGCCTATCTTGTTTTTCAATTAATCAATTTAACCAACATAAAATCTGTCATTTTTTCTGTTTCCTTGAAAAAAAAATTTTCCTCATTCCAAATAGCTTCATGGTCTGATTGAATATGGAAGCTTTAAAACAAATAAACAACCATTTACGACCTTATAACCTTTAACACTCTTCCACCACCTCTACAAAAATCAAATCATATCTTCATCTAAACGAGAGCTATACTATCAAAAGCAACAACAACAACAATCCTTTGAAACTAACGAACTTATTCTTTCACTATTTCTTTTCATTTTCACAATCTCTCTTTAAATGTCCAATTTTAAGATATTCTAATAAGTCTGATAATCATCTTTTTTAATAATAATGATTTTTTTCCCTTTTCATCAATCCAGTTGCCGCCACACATTGATTATTTTGTTTAACCCGCACACAACCGCACACACACACAAAAATCGGATGGATCTTATTTTTTTTTCTCGATTATGTCCATTGATAATTGTCCATTTTTAATCAACCATGTGTATCACGTTGTCCTTTTTTTTTAAATTTCCGAAGCAAAAAATCCATCCAATCAAACAATTTTTTTCAAAGTGAAAACAAATAAACAAAAAAATGTCCCTATAATTCTTCTATTGCACACTATTGATTTCGAACAACAATATCACGAAAGGAAACCAACAACAACAAGAAAATCATCATCGTTTTCTATCTGTTTTAATCAAAAATGTTTTTTTTTTTGAAGAAAAATGTAACATTCAATCCAAAATATGAATACATTTTTACCTTTTTCAAAAAAATGATGATAATAATAAAGTGATTGTAATTAAAATTCTTTTTAAAAAACTTTGCCATTTCATTCATTCATTCATTCATCCATTTCATTCGTTCAATTGTGTCAATACGAAACGAAACGTTGGAAACCAAAAAAAAAAGTTTCGGATGACACATCCAAAAACCATAGAGAGAAAGATTGAAAAAAAGACAAAAAGTTAGTATTGCACATTGCTTTTTGTGTATGTTTTTGTGTGACGCCTTTGCCATTTACATTATCTTGTATGTATGTCTGAAGTCTGTATGAATGAATAACGTTTATCCATTGAATAAAATGAAATGAATGAATGAATGAATGGATATACAGTGAGCAATTCATTGACTGCTGGCTGTATTACAATATTGTCTGCCTTGTTTTGTTATGATTTTCACTGAGCAAGCCAAGATTTAAAGTCTGTGTTTTGTCTGTCTGTTGTGTATAAACTATCAGAATATCAGGTGATGACAATTCGATCTCTTTTTTTTCTTTCGTTTTGTTATGTTTGTTTTGATTGATATTATGATGTCAACAAAGTGAATTTCTTTTCTTTTTTTCTTTCTTTGTAAATAATATTCGTGATGTTTTCTTGAATGTTTTCTGATCTGATCATGTTGGATTAAATTTTGGAAAATATTTTTGTTGTTTTCTGAGCGATTCACCATCATCGTCAATTTCAATCAGATCTCGATCAATTTAGGTATTTAAAAAAAAAATTGAAGCAAACATGACTCGAAGTCAAACAACTGCCGCATCATCATCGTCCGCACCATCGCAACGAAATAGACAACAACAATCATCATCATCATCATCATCGAATGCAAATGTTAGACATCGATCCAGTAACAACAACAGCAACAACAATAATAATAATCGTCGCCATCAACATTCACATTTGAATACATTACGTTTAGCACAATTATTACAATTACAATATGATGAAAATTTTACATTCATTTCACCATGTATTAAATATTTTCTATTCTTTTTCAATCTAATTGTTTGGGTAATTTGTTTTGAATCAATTTTCTGATTGATTGATTAATAAGTTTATTTTGTTTGTCAGATATTCGGTTGCCTATTGATTGGTTTAGGTGCCTGGTCATTTCTTGAAGAATATAGCGATAATACGGCTATTCATGTTCGTACTGTTATTGATCTTTTGCTTAACATATCATTGTTTATTATTGTATTTGGAAGTATTGTTTTCATCATGAGTTTTACCGGATGTATTGGTGCATTACGTGAAAATCTTTTTCTTCTTCGATTGGTCAGTTGATTTTTCTTTTTTTTATATTACAAATATCGTTTTAATTTTTCTGAATTCATTAATTTTTTTTTGGTCACAAAAATAGTATTCGCTAATATTATTGCTTATGTTTATTGCTGAGACAATTTTATCGGCTGTTGCAATCCTATTTCCAAATTCATTCCTGAACCTGGTGAAGGAAGCATTCTCAAATGAACCAATTATCAAATATCGAGATGATTCAAATCTACAGAATATTATCGATTTGGTACAAACAGAATTTCAATGCTGTGGTGTATCGGATAAAGGTTATAAAGATTGGTCAAAAAATATTTATTTCGAATGTTTGGATACAAATCCTAGCCGTGAACGATGTGCCGTACCATATTCCTGTTGCCGTAATTCTCGTAATCTGGATGTAAGTTTCTCACTAAGATCTGTTAGTTTTCCTCATTTAACATCGTCATTTTTCTTACCTATTTCCAGTCTGGTTTAATTAACAATGAATGTGGTTTTAATATGCAAAATATAAGTTCAGTAGTCGAAGTAAATAAAGATATTTTTACACGTGGTTGTATTGAAGCTATTACGGAAAAAATTGCACCACATATACCTATTCTTGCCTATGTTTGTATTGGTATTGCTATCATTCAGGTTAGTAACATATCTAGTTCTTTTTCCATCTGATCCATCAAAACAAACAAACTAATCATTTTTTGGATTTGTTTTCTTTCTTTTTCCTATTTGTTTCTTTATAGTTATTGCTTATGTTTTTAGCACGTTCATTACAGGGCCAAATATCGGCACAATTATCCCGTTGGAATGGAAGATGATTTTGATGATACGAATATTGCATATTAACTTTTTTTTTTGGTCTTCTCAATTTTAAACTCAATTGTACAAATTGAAATCAAAATAATAAAATATATACAATCATCATCATTATTATAAATACAAAATTCATTCATTTTTTTTTGTAATTTTAAATACGATTGTGTAAAACTACACACACAAAATCATTTTCGGATGATGATGATGATTATTAGGATGATGAATGCAAACAAACAAAAAAAATGTGTACGGGATGTGTGTGTGTATAAAAGCGGACTAGTTTGGAAAAATTAATAATATTTTTTTTTCAATATAAAAGATTAATCATCATGCGAATCAATCAAAAACGGCTGCATTTGCTGATGTGGTTGCATAGAAACGTTCTTGATCTTCGATTTGTCGAATAAATTCCTCTTCCAGTTTCTACAACAACAACAACAAAAAAAAATGTTGTGATTAATAGAATTAGACTATTTTAAGCAAAAACAAACCAATTTTCGTGGCATTAATTGCGATTTCCATTGTTTCAGCTCTTCAGCATGTTCTTCTTCAAGCATATTTAATTTAAGAATTTCATGTTCGCAAAGTGCTTTTTTCTTATCTTTATGAATTTGTTCCAATTCATGTATAACCGCTGCACAACGATTCTTTAAATTTTCAATTTGTTTTTGATGTTTAATCTCTTGACGAGCTTGTTCATCTTTGTATCGATGTTTTTCACTTTCTTGAAATCGTTTAAGTTTTTCTCGTTCATCTTCATTACTGTAGGCATTGTTTAAATTGGCCATACTGATTTGTAAACTTGCACGATACATCATTTCACGAGTTTTCATTTCCGAACGAATTCGTTTCGGTAATGATCGTTTTTCAATAGCCTGTCTTTTCAGTAATTCCTCTTCCTGTAGACTATTCCAACGTTTATAATGTTCAAATTCCTGTTCAAAAAATGAATGAGATTAATGAAATGTGATTGGACAAATAAAGTGATTGGACAAACCTTTTCATGTCGATCAAGCATCTGATGTCGTTGTAGGAAAAATGATTCGTTTAATTGTTTCTTAAGAAGACTATATTTATTATAAATATGTTTTTCTTCCAATTCCCAAATTGCTGCTTCTCGTGCTCTAAGAAGTTTTTGTTTTTGTTTTAAAAATTCTCTTTCCATCATGGCCAATTTTTCACGATGACTTTGATTCAATTTGTTGATGTTATATTCGAATTGACGATTCAAAGATTCAATAAATTGTCTTTCCTTTTCGGCGTGAATTTTATCCAGCCGATCTTTACGTATTCTAAATTCATTTTTACGTTTATCTTTAGGCATCATATCCACATCTTGTCTGAGCATTTTTTGTTCAGCTTTAAGTGATTCACGAAAATTTTTCAATTCTCGTTCTTGTTCTTGTTTAATACGACGGGTAGCTAATTTTAGTTCAGCCTGTTGATGTTCTTCACCTTTTTCGACTAGTGCTTTTTGTTCTCGAATCAATGATTCCAGATCAATATCGTATGATTTTTTTAATGCGGCCATTTCCATATCAAACTTTTTCTCTTGTGCATCATATGCGGCTATTGAACGACATTCAAGCTCCTGTAGTTGTTTGATTTCATGTTTTTGTAACATTTTTAGCTCTCTTAGCTCTTGTTTCCTGTTAAAAATTATTTGGAAAAAAAATTATCGTCAAAAATAAAATAAAAAACAGGTAGTTGTCCGGAAAACTTACCTTAAATATTGATCGTTGTTCTTATCGTTTTCACCATCAATTACTTTTTGAGTAGTTGTTGTGACAACCACACCATCGACAACAAATTTACGGGTCTTTGTTTTTAACGTTTTCTTCTGTGCTGAATGTTCAGAAACTTGAGATTTTTTCTCACGTCGAGATGGTGATTCCTATAAATTTCAAATATGATTAGAATTGTATTGATAGATTTGCCTGAATAATAGTTACATACCATATCTCGTTGTTTCTTACGCAACAAAACTGCAGCAGACGATTGATCATTTGCTTGTTGCATTTTACCGTTATTATTCAAATTGTTTAGGATATTCTCTTTATCACTGCTACCTACACTACCAAAATTACTGCTACTTGAATTGGATGGTTCTCGTTTTAAACTTTTGTTATTCGATTCTATTGGTGGTGATTGAACGGTTTTGTGATGATGATGACCATGATGATGATGATGATGGTTATTGCGTTCATGATTGCCATTGTTTCGGCTATTAACAATAGGTGTTACCTGATCAATTCGAGTGGTAACATGGTTTTTATCAACCGGCACACGTTTCGGACTATTTTGATTACGTCGTTCATTTTCTGCTTTTGGATTTAAATTTACTTTGATCGTCGTTTTTACATTAGCGTTCGCTGCTGGTTTAGAAACACCATTTTTGGTAGATGAAGGTGGTTGTTTTTGTGATGGTGATGGAGGTTGCGTATGTTTATCAGTTATTTTACCATTGGATGGTTTATCAATCACTGCATAGTCATCGTTGGCTGGTCGATCTAGTTTGTCGTTTGAATGAGCTTCAGAAGTTTGAATGGAAATAGGTTTGCCATCATCGATGGTCACTATCGATATGTTACGTTGATCTTCGGACGTTGGTTGACCGGTCGTATTAATGATTGTACTGTGATTGGAAAGAATGGTCACCTGACAATTATCATCATCAAATACTGATTCGTTCATTTGTGGGGTATGGCACGGAGTTAGATCGTCACAGTTGGAAATGTCTTCAGGATCACAATTAAGAATAGGATTATTGTCATCGGTGAACAAAGCTATTTCGTTTTGATCAACCAACTTCTGTTCATTTAATGTGCTTGAATCGGTTGTGGTGATCAATGCTGGTGATTCAACATCATTTTGGACCTCATTTGACACATCTTGGCTTTTCGATTCATTTTCTTGCGTTTGTTCTTCATCAACTTCTTCAATAGATTCTTGTAAAACTTCTAATGCTGCATTATCACTATCATTACTACCGTTGGTCGAAGCTACTGAAGAAGTAGTCAATACTGGTGGTAATGGAGCAGGTACACGTTTTGTGCTTTTCTTTACTTCCTCTACGGTTGGTGTAGTAGGTGTTGATGGAATCTGTTCATCAGTAGAAGGCGAATTTTCTATTGAAGAATCTTGACGAGAAATAGTATCCTTGCTACTGACATCATCATCTTCGTTTACTTCGGTTTCATATTCAACAACTTCGGCTTTGTATTCACTAATCAATGCTAATAAGGCACGTTTATCTTCGACAGGTTTCACCTGTTTCAAAAATGGATGTTCTAAAAGTTCAGAAGCATTAGGCCTAGTATTGCAATCTTTAATAAGACATTTGGCTATAAAATTGTTGAATTCGGATGACCATTTTTTCGGGTTATCTAATCTAGGTGGATCACCTTTTTGAATTTTTAATAAAACACGCATCGGACTCATTTGATGATTTGGTGGCTCTGTTTGAGCAAATTCAATCAAAGTAATACCTAAAGACCAGATATCAGCTTTATAATCATAAGGATTATCGCGAATAGTTTCACACATGATTACTTCGGGTGCCATCCTATATCGTATAGTAAAAAACCAAACAAAATGAATTTTTTTTAATTAACAGGGTGATTGTTTTTTACTCGCTTACCAATATGGAGTACCGATAAAAGAATCACGTTTCTGAATGGTATTCTTGTTTTTGGCCGATACACCAAAATCAGCTATAAATTGATGAAAAAAAAAGATTAATAAAGATTTTTAACCCTCGGCTATCCATGTGGGGTCAAATTTGACCCCAACGACATTTAAAACTTCGCCATTCGAAAATCTATCGACATAAATCAATTTTCTCTTGAATGATCAAAGATCTATGTTTATTGAACATGATAGGCAATTTCACCGTTTTCCGACTAAAAATAGTGGAGAAATCATCGATTTTCGGGATGAAGTCTAAATGTGCATAACGTAAGTGCTGTAGGATCCCTACCTACAACACTTACGTTATGAACAGACCCGAAATTTAATAGGAAAATCAAAATTTGTTTGCCGCTTTGTATCATTAATGATATGCTTTTAAGATAGAATTTTTTGATGAAATTTTAAAATTGATAATATTTTCTAAGAGTTGAGCACAAAATTTTAGATTATTTTAACTTTCTAACATAATTTAAAAGCGATCAAAGTTGGGGTCAAAAATGACCCCACATGGATAACGACGTGAGAAATGCTGCGTGAATAGCGGAGGGTTAAAGATTTGATTTTTAAACACATTCACACTTACCCAGTTTAACATCACCTTCAAGCGTTAAAAGAACATTTCCGGCTTTTAAATCTCGATGTATCACCTTTTTTTCATGTAAATATTTTAATCCTTCAACAATTTCACGACAAACAAAACGTATTTGTGATTCAGTCAATGGTTTTTCCAAATCCATCATTATTGAATCGATTGCACCACCTTCACAGAATTCGATAAACATCTAAAATATGGAAAAAAACAAAAAGAAAAGACCATTATTGAATGATGATTCCCTTTGAATTTTCAATTTTTAATCATCATCATATTTACCCAAAGTTTGCCTTCAAAAAAATAAGCTTCAATTAATTGTACAATGTTTGGATGACGACATTCAGAAAGTATATCAATTTCAACAACAAAATCTTCTAATTCATCTTCTTCTTTTAATTCACAAATTTTTGCTGCAGCTAATTGGCCATTATGAATATTTTCAGCCTATTCAAAATGTTTTAAGCGAGGTAAATTATCTCAAATTTTTCTTCATGTTTTTTTTTAAAATCAACTTACCTTATAAACTTTACCAAATGCACCATCACCAATTTCACCAACAGTTTTCCATGTTTCTTCGGGATTTTCATCAAATTTAATATTATGAAAAAATTTTTTACGTTTAGTACCGGCCGATCCATGATTACCGGCACGAAATACTTTATTTTTTATACGTTCAAAAAATGTTGACATTTTTTTTTCTTGTGTGTCGAAATTGTACAACAAAGTTAATATGGAAAACTAATAAGTTATATAATGATCGACATTTGATCAATAAAAATCGAATGCAAATATATAAAAGTCATAAATAACAAACAAAAAAATGGAAGGAATGTTGTTGCTTGCGGATCATGAATTTATCAATTGTTTTTCGAATCAATATCGACCGGCATCATCATCACTTTGATTACCGTTACACATCAATCACAAATCACAAATCACAAATACTCATCATTCATTACACTAAATGATAATGATGACGAAAATAAATGAAAAAAACAGGACACAATCAAGCTGATTGCACACACACACACCGTATACACACGTACCTGTATACAGGTTGCAAATGTTTATTATCGATAAGTTACACCTTTTGTTGTTGTTGTTGATGATGATGATGATTATTATCTTTTTTTTTTTTTGATTCAAAACGGGAAAAAAAATTTTGATAAAGACAAATTTACTCACAACAGCAACAACAACAACGAACAAACAAAATAAACAAAATAAAATGGACAGGTCAGCTGTGGACACTTTTTGATGGCGGTGGTGGTTGGTTGGTTGGTGATTGGGGGGGAGGAATGTGTTTAATATATTTTGGTATTTGTATTTGCAGATGGATCACAATCAACTTTTGTTGTTTTTTTTTCTTCTTTTTGGTTGAATATCAAACTGATGATGATGATGATTGCTGATTGCTTGTTTGTTTGATGATTAGTCGATAGATTACCAAATGAAAATTGAAGCTCAATTTTTATTTTTGATTCAGATAAAAGAGAGAGATATGGTGGATTTATTGGAGAAAGATAAACACTGGATAAACACACAACTCTCTCTCCAGAAAAAAAACAAATTGATGTTGTTGTTGGTGTATTATTGCAGGCATCACCAAAATAAAAAAAATTGTGGCTGTATCATTAAATACACAGGGATATATGATGATGGATATATTGGTCTGAGCTACAAGTTGTTGTCGATTGGCATCCACATCTGTATATGTGCCAGGCAGGCAGTTATATTAAACCAACCAAACCAAACCAAGCCAACCAGCCAATCTAAATCTAAATGGTGTGGTCGATTTATGCACCATCTAGTTTTTGAAACAATGATTTTAAAGAATCTAAATGTCGACCGAGCCCTGTATCATTATTTTGCTTTTTGTGTTTTGTTTGTTGAGTGCATCCATTGAACTATCATCGTCCACCATCCAACAGTGTAAACGAGAGAAGAACAAAATAATAAAGGAGCTATTATTTTAGCATTGTGTGTGTGTGTTTATTCTGTTCACATTCGAATTTAGCATTGATCTGTGTGTGTTATTTATTGCATAATTGATTGAACACGTTCATCGTAAATCGATGTTCGTTTGGATATCGTCGTTTTTTTTAAAATCTTCATAATCGATTTGTAATATTAATTAAAATAAAATAAAAGAACACTATTTACATAATGAGCCTGGACGAAGAATCGACATCAATTATAAGCAGTACATCAAACGAATCAACACCATCGAATTGTAAATCGAATACATTTCTTTGTGGAGTTGTTGAAGGATTCTATGGTCGACCATGGACACTTGAACAACGTAAAGATCTTTTCGCTAAACTAAAACGTTTCGGTATGAATGTTTATATGTATGCACCAAAAGATGATCTCAAACATAGAAATTTATGGCGAGAATTATATACTGTTGAAGAATCGGAACAATTGTCTGTGTTAATATCGAATTCTAAGTCAAATGGTATTCTATTTGTTTATGCTATATCACCTGGTTTAGATATCGGTTATTCGAATCCAAAAGATGTTCAAGCATTGAAACGTAAATTGGATCAAGTTAAACAATTAGGATGTGAATCTTTTGCTTTACTTTTTGATGATATTGAACCTGAATTAAATGAAAATGATCGTGAAGCATTTAAATCATTTGCCAGTGCACAGGTTTCAGTTACCAATGAAGTTTATCAACATTTAGATCAACCTGTATTTATATTCTGTCCAACTGAATATTGTTCATCAAGAGCTGTACCAAATGTACAACATTCAGATTATTTATCAACAATCGGTGCTAAACTGAATACAAACATTGGAATCATGTGGACTGGTAATCGTGTAATATCTCAAAGTATTGGTTTGTCTCAGATTCAAGAATTAACTGATGTTCTTCGTCGAAAACCAGTTATCTGGGATAATCTTCATGCTAATGATTATGATCAGAAACGTTTATTTTTAGGTCCATATAGTGATCGTTCAACGCAATTAATACCGCATTTAAGTGGAGTGTTCACTAATCCTAACTGTGAATACGAAGCTAATTTCATTCCAATTCATACGTTAGGTCAATGGAGTAAATGTACAAAAGATGCTAATGAATGTCAATCTAATTCGGATATTAAACTTGAATCTGAATCAGAAAATGGTTCTATTGAAGATGTACCTGTCGAAATGGATTCTTGTGTTTATCATTATCGAAATGCATTACGTGTGGCTATTCAAGAATGGATTACCGAATTTTACAAGGTGAAAAATCCACAAATAAAACCGAATCTTGTGCTTGGAACTAGTACTACCGGTAATCCACCACCTAATATTACACTCAATTATGATTCGCTCATAACTACGACAACTAAATCAACATCACCTTGCAAAAATGAACCATTAACCGAAAACGGTTTGATGCTAGATTCGGATATAGGTAATCGGATCGAAAACGGTAATTCGACAATCAATCATGACGAATTGCTTGAAAATAAAGAAAATACTGTTCAAAGTTTAGAACCAATGGATTGTAATCCATCTCCCGATTCTTCACACAAGATCAATTCTTTGGACGTACCAATGATTGAAAATTTAATCAAAGAAAGTGATGGAAATTCAGCCAAAAACAGCATGAACAGTGTTGATTCAGATGAAATGCAAACCGAAGTAACATTTGAAAATGATGATTCAGCGGTAAACGAAACTAAATCCACAATGCTTACTTTCGAAGATATTGCTCTGTTGGTCGATTTATTCTATTTACCTTTCGAACATGGACCTCAAGGTGTTCAAATTTTACATGAATTTCATTGGCTTAAAACAAATGGATTTATTGTTTCGGAATATCGTCGTAAACGACAAACGGCCAATACAAATGAACAAACAAATGTTAGTGCCGAAATCAATGAATGGTATGATCGTGCAGCTAAATTCAATGAAATGACAATGTTGATTGGTCGTTTGTTAACACGTTTAACATTTTGTAAAAATCGTTCATTACTTTATGAACTTTATCCATATGTTTGGGATATAAAAGGAGTTATTTCATTGCTCAATTCATATGTAAAATGGATCGGTAAGTTTTTTTTATTTTAATTTCGAAAAATATTCTTCTTTTTTTATTGAAAATAATAATGGCCCTAATGAATTTGCTTTTATTTATTTTGCATTTCTTGTTTTATTTCTATTATTCTCGTTCTCTCTCTCTTTCTGTCTCTCTATCTCTCTTAATCTCTGAACCCGTTTACCATTTGATTGATATAGCACTCGGCCGAGTACCGGTGACAAACTTTTTCCAACCAATTGGTTTATTTCCCGCAACTTTTACATGTATGATTGATGGCTAAATTGATTGATTTGATTTGATTACATTAATTTCCTGATAGTGAAACATATTTGTTCATCTATAATTATAATTAATATACATATTAGATCCCCACAATGCATGCCTGTCAAAAATTTTTTTTCTTCCAAATCTATTTAATTCATCAATCCGTATACGATAATGTCATGGTGTTGATTTATTTTAATTTACTTTCATTTTGTTTTTTAATCTTTAAAGGGTTCTCAAAAGGATATAAAGAAGCATTTCAAAGTGGTGAACAAGAACCATGGTTATTTCGTGGTGGTCTTACCGGTGAACTACAACGAATGTTACCGGTAGAATCGGTTAGCGATTTATTCCTATATAAAGCACCTGATTCACCAACCAGTCGTATCTATACAATCCGTCCATATTTGCCAAGTGATTTACAATCGGTTTATGAAATATGTTTTAAAAATTATGATCGACATATTTTGCTTGAAAATAATGATCAATTAGTTGGTGATAAATTAATTGGCGGTTTTCTTACGCTCAGTCCTGAATATTGTTTTATAGTTGAAGATGATGTTCGTCTTTGTGGTTATGCATTGGCCGTATTGGATGCTAAAAATTTCTTTGCCAAATTAGAAGTTTCATGGATACCAGGATTGTTGGAAAAATATCCATTGATGGCCGAAGAACGATCATTAAAAGAAAAATATGTTGGCCAATTTGTAGATGAAATGCATAATCAATATAAACAACAATTATCCGATCCTGAAGAAATATTCGCAAATTATCCTTCACTTTTAACATTGGCAGTTATGGCCAACATTATGGATCTTAGTGTACCAAAACGAATGCTCACCTGTGTGATTGCTGCACTTAAAGCAAATGGTTTGTTATCTCTATATATAATGCCAATCAAATTTAATTCGTTTATTTTCTGAATTCCAGGTTCGAAAGGCTTATATTGTCGAATACCCGCAAACGATAAGAAAACTATTGAATTTTATCTGAAATTAGGATTTCAAACTATTAACATTAGAAATTCAATTGCAACTGATGACGTTTATGTTGGACGAGTCATCTAAAAATTTAGTAAAACTATCTTAATTCATTCATCTCATCTCATCTCCACTTTATCATTTGACTTGACACTTGACACAAACACACAATGTGGACACACTGTTTTCTTCTTCTTTTTTTTCGGTGATATAATCTCAATATTTGGGTGATATCCTTTTTTTCATACCTATCCTTATTATTATATCCCAATTCTTTTCATTCCTAATTATTTAATAATAATGCATGCTTTTTGTTTCATTTTTTTAATGAATTTCACATACAACACACACACTGATAATATAATTTAAAAATAGAAAAAATAATGAAGATTTTTTGAAATGAAAATAAAAAATATTTATTCAAATATGATATTATTATTATGATTATGATTATGTCGAATTGGATGGATTATGAATAACCAATGATAAATGAATGGAATCACAGAATACCAATAATCTTATAAGTCAAACCAGAATAAGTTGTTGTTGTTGTTGATGTAGTTGCTTTATTCAATTGATTATTCAAATGATTAGTATTTGATTTAGGTTTGGATGGTGAAAAACAAAAACACCCGGCATTTATACGACGTCTTTTATAACATTTTGGATTTTGTTGCCATTCACGTTCACGTACACAACGTTCAAAATAATCTAATTCTTTTAGATACCAAATTGGTGGCCAACGATTACGATTTAAGTAGGCTTGATTTTCTGGATGTAATGATCGTAATGATTTTGTATGATTATGACAAATATCATTATAATGTGTTGTAATATAATGTAAACAAAATTCCGTTAATTGATCAGCATTATGTATTTGTGATGGTTCCAATAATCGTAGTACAGCAAGTGTTATATCAGTTTTTTGTTTTTCAGCTAAATATAATAATTCATTTACAATATGTTCTTCAATCAAACCGATTAAACGTGTTAAACAAAAACGATTGGCTAATTCGATTAATGGAAGACAATTTTTATGATTGATACTATCGATCAACATATCGGTATAAATGTAGAATAACATACTGTAGAATGTTTCTTTGGTAACATTCGGAAACACAATCTGTCAGAAGAAAATTACAAACAGCCAAAAATTATCATTAATCAACCACCATTCGATTTGATCAATTTACAACACACACTTACCATTTGAGCTAAACTTTCACGAAAATCACCTTTAAACATTGCTTCCATTACTTCACATCTAGCCATAAGTACAGCTTTATGACCATAACAAGTGCCATCGTCCAATCGAAATATGACATCTATTTTTGGTTGATAAACAGATATATTTACAATGACAATTCATTAACATAAAAAATGTAATACGAACCGGAAAATAATCCTTTTTCAATACCGAAAAAAGCAAAACGTTTAGCAAATATATCATATTTGCATTGATCAATATAATGTTGAATATTAGGTAGAAAATTATCCAATGAAAGGACGGATGTATCAAAGTCGACAAAATCCAAATAGGAAAAACATTTAAAAAGATCATTTAATTGATCATATGTAAATGATTTTATTGTTGTTGTAAATGAATATATTAATGAAATATATGTTTGTAATGCTTCAAATGGAATGTTTTCACCATCAAACGATATAATCGATTGACGTGTTGATCGTAAATTTGTTCCATCTAAACGTACTTGACGTACATGTTTATAAAGTGTAATTAATTTTTGTTGAAATAATTTCAATCGTTGTTTTGATTGTTGAAAACGATTATATGAAAAAAGTTTTTGTTTACTAAATGAATGTCTGAATAGTTTGGACGTATCAAAACTTAATAATGGAAATAATGAGGCACTGAGTACATATTTAAGATGATTCCAACGAACATCCAAAAGACTATCATCAGCAAATGGTCTTGGTTCATGTTTATCTAGATCTTCGATTGAACTAGCAATACTAAGATCACTTGCACATTTGGTCATACATTTATTTGTATTCATATTTGAACCCATTACCGAATCAATACATGTTCCAAAATGAGCTTTACAACGATTATAAGGTGGAAATGTAAACAATGTATTCAACATATCGGATGCTGTAATCAATACAATTTTATGGCAGTTGATACTAATTTTACTATGTTGTTTATGATCTAAAAATACAACATCTGTATATGCTTGTCTATTGAATAATGAACCAATATCTTGACTATAAGTTGATTGTGGAACAATTAATTGCGCTAATTGTGGTTTTGGTGGTAAAAATGGTTCCTGTAATAAACAATCACGAACATGTTTTAAACTGGTCATTAGAAAACGTTGTTGACGTCGAGCAATCAATGCTGAACGTATTACATTTTCAAACACTTGTTTAACACCATAACCAGTAAAAACACTTGTTTCATAATATGATGCATTCATTTCTTTAGCAACATTACGACCTTGTTCCGGTGATAATATATCACATTCTTTAAGTGGTCTATTTTGAAAAAAATTAAATTAAATTAAGAATTTTTTTCATTAGTTTTCATTACTTTCAATCACAAACTATGTACATCATCCTCATCATCATGTAAGTGTTTTCTGTTATTTATTAGTCTATCTATATTCTATTCGTTAAACTAATTAACTAAATTAACTAACTACACTACTGTTGATCATCTAAAAAAATTGCTAAAAATGTAATAAGAAAATTGATCAAATTTTTTAGTACCTTCCACATTCAGGAAATCTGCAGCAAAGATGATTAACCCTATTTTAGAAAGAAAATTATATAGAAAATTACATTGAGAAATAGTTGATGAGAGAGTGATATGGAAAGATAATCAACTTGGAATTTTTTTTAAAGAAAATCATATAAGAATCAAAGGATTTTTGACTATTTTGGTAAAAACAAAATGATAACTTGTGTAGGTGAGTGTTTCGGTGTGTGCATAAAGGTTTCTATGAAATGAACATTCAACATGGCATGTGCATCAATTAAGCAAAAAAAATAAAATTTTGATTTAAAAATTACCGAAAAAATGGACTTCGTTCACGGCAAAGATTTTGAAATTGTTCATCACGAAACATATAACGTAAATCATTTTTACAACCAACCAATACGATAGGTGTATTTGGACAAAATTTTCTAATCTCTGGATACCAAATTGTTTTACAATTACGTAATGATAATGGATTTGCAATTGAAAAACATAATAATACAACATCCGATCTAATTTTTTAAAATAAATTTTTTTGTTTTTAAAATTAAATTATTTTTGGTAATTAGCAGAGGAGAAAAAGGGTTAACAAAAAACTTTTTTTTGTTTCATCAATCAATCATACCTTCCATATGCAAAACGACGATCTTTATCATGATCACCAAATGTATCCCATAAACGTAATGAAACATTAACACCATCAACAACTTCCCATGAACGTTCCAATACTTCTTTATGTATTCTATATTGATCAATTGCCCATACTGTTGGTATATGTGTTGTCATTAATTGACTTAGATCAAGTATTAGATTACATGCTTTTGCACATATTAATCTTGTTTTTCCTATATTTAGGACGCAAACAAACAAAAACAAAAAAAAACAAAACAAAAAATTCAATGAAAAATTCAATGAAAAATTCAATGAATGAATAAATTTCCAAATAAAGTGATGCATATCATCATCATCATCACAAGACAAGACAAGACTCTTCCTGGACGTGATGCGACAATAATGCTGCAACAAAAACTGTTAAACTGAATAAAATTAACAACGAAAAATGAAAATAATACAAACCAACAGCAGTATCACCAACAACGACGCACTTAACCAATTCCTGATGTGAATGTTCATAATCCATCATCATTACCACCAAAAAAAAAATCAATCAAATCAATTTGTTACGAGAGAAAAAAAATAAATTAGATGATTATGTAACATCTGTAACCCTTTTAGGTTTGTTTTTTAAAAAAATTTAGTTTAAACCGATGACAATTATCGAAAATAGTGTAAATGATGGATGGATGGATGGAAAAAAAGATGAGCTAATTTTAATCGATATTAATAACAATGATGATGATGATGATAATTAGCCATGACTTGTCAGTATAGATCACCTGTCACCATGATCACCAATTGATTATTTGTCAATCATTCAAATCAAACATTTCGGATCGATGAACACATCAACAACAGTACACATCGATGATTTTTTTTCGGTTAATGAAATGATGATGATGATTGCATAATAACGAAATGATGCACAACAAAATCAATCAAATCAGATCGATCGATCAATCAATCAATCAATCAACAACAGCAAAGTAATTTAGAATCATGTTAAACACAGAGACAAAAAACAACGATGTAACCAGAAAATTGATTTTTTCTTTTTTGGTAACAACACAACAAAAAATCAACATGTCAACAAAATGATAAAACATTTGAGAAAGAAAAAGAAACTTCTATATTGAATTGTTTGTTTATTGCGTATGTTTGCGTTTGATTATATGCTCAACATCGTTATGATTTTTTTTCATTTGGAATGTTTTTTTGTTGTTGTTTTGTTTTGATTCAAAGGCAGCAACCAACCAACCAACCAACCAATAATAATAAAATAACATGACTGACTTGACTTGACTGAAACCATGATGGTTAGAATCTTTTGCCTGGCTAAAATAACAACAACCAAAATAAACAAAGCAAAGCTATCATCATCACCTATACACAGGCGCCCATTTTTTTCGTTTTCTTCTTCGTCGTTTTACCATAGTCGATTATTATTATTATTATTATTATGATTATGGTCGGACCATTATATTTACATCTTTTCTATACCCCTTGTGTGTGTGTTTTTAGTGTTTATCAATCTGAATTCTTTTTTCCTTGATACAGGATCCAACCAAATGGATCATGTTTGTTGACGCTTTTTTCTTGCTTTTCTTTGTTGTTGTTGTTGTTGTATACGACGTATATACATACAACCAATGATACAAACTCGTGCATCCATCAAACAAAACAAAACAAAAAGACACCATGGTTGACGACGCATATTCCAACCGACGCTATACACAAAATTGATGGCGCCTTTTTAATCCCATTTTGTATACATGTACCATTTTGGATATTATCATTTTACATTTACCAATTGCCGGCTGTTCATAATTGGGCGTCGCACCCTACAACAACCATTTTTTTTTTTTTTTTTGCTAGGCGCAATATTTTTTTTGTTGCAAAACTTTGAAATGGCGCATCAATATATTTCTTTGCTTTTCTTCGTATTTCTTTCTGGTTATGGATTTTAACTGGAAAGATTTATCCATGCATGGATAAAACAAAAGAAACGCGCGCATTTTTTTTTTTTTTTTTTTTTATTTTTTTTTTTTTTTTTTTTTAAAAAAAAAAACCATTTTTTTTTTTTTTTTTTTTTTTTTTTTTTTGTTTTTTTTTTTNNNNTTTCTTTCTGGTTTTGGATTTTAACTGGGAAGATTTTTCCATGCATGGATAAAACAAAAGAAACGCGCGCATTTTTTTTTTTTTTTTTTGAATTTTGAATCTTTTCTTTTTCGAATAACAACAACTATATTGCACGTCTAAATACACGCCCAAAAAAAAATAGATTTGGGCGTAATGAACTATGAGATTAGCAGGGATAGATGTTTGGTTGTTTTGTTCTGCGAGAATGATGATTCATTCACCCCTATTAGAAAAAATGTGTTCGATGTTTACGATGATGATGACCATCGTCGATCTTTAGATATGGTAGAATATGGTGAATAATGATCATTGAAAATTGTCAGATCGAATATGAATCATGGAAAAACAAAACAAAACAAACAGACATTATCCATGCATGTTATGGGTTATGGGTTAGTCAGACCTAAAACAACAATCTTCTTCTTTTCTATATTTCCAAATGGACGTCCAATATATACAAAATCATCATTGAATGAAATTGTTATGCTCACTCTCAGCTTTCAAGTCTCTTAATATTAATGGTGGTGATGTCTGCATTCATGCATTCATGTTGTGCAGACATTTAACTCAATACCGTACACACGGATTTATATACAACAAAAAAAAACACTCATAGAAAAACTGGTAGATTGATTGGTGGCTCTTTTTTTTTCTTGTTATTTTTTTTTCTTCTTCTTTTGGTTTGTCAATATTTGTTGCCCCTTATTTTTTTATTGCACACGTTTTACAATTAAAAGCAATAATCATCATCATTATTAAAATAAAATAATCTTTGGCCATTGATTAAAAAAAATATGGCCATCAATTTTTATAAATATCATGATCAAATTGTTCAAGCATATAAAGAAGTATTGGATGCTAAATGTCCAATTAATTGGTTTGTTTTATTATTATGATTCTGAATACATATTATAGAATCAATTATTTTTTTTTTAAATATCAATATTTACAGGGCACTATTTGGATATGAAAAACAATCAAATGATTTAATGTTAATCACAAAAGGTGATACTGGTCTTGAAGAACTTTATGAAGAATTTAGCCAAAGTAAAATTTTATATGCATTCTGTGAAGTTAAAGATGATTCATTAAATATTCGAAGATATTTGCTCATCAATTGGGTAATCTTATCAATTAAAAGCTTATAAAAAAAGGGGTTAATGATTGATTTTTTTGTTTGTACAGCAAGGCGAATGTGCACCGCTACAACGTAAAGGAGTCTGTATGAATCATTTTGCTGATGTTCGTAGTTTTTTTAAAGATGCTAATATCGTATTAAATGCTCGACATGAAGATGATGTCGAACCAGAAGTATTGATGCAGCATGTTAATAAATTAGCCTCAAGAATCAGAATCGATAAACAAACAAATGGTGGTAGCATACATCCAACTACAAATGGTAACGATAATCATGATGATGATGATCATGATAATTCAAAGCCGGTAGGCACCAATTATCAACGAACAGTAGCACAGAGAGAAATATCATTAAAAGAACGTGAACGATTCTGGAACCAACAGAAACAAGAAGAAGAACAACGATTAAAAGAAGAAAAATTGAAACAATCGGCTAATCGTTTTGATATGAAAGCCGAATTACAACGTAATTGTCAAACAACAACTACTGGTCAAGAATCGCCAATTAAAACTAACCAAAGTCAATTATTACGTAAAGAACGTATGGAAGAGGCCAAATCTTTGATTTCAAAAAACAGTATAAGTAATGCTCGGGCATTTTTTGAACAAAATTCTTCTACACCCGCAATACAACAGCAACAACAGCAGCAGCTCAATTGTCAATCACAATCGACAAAATCATCAACAGCAGCTTCGAATTATGTAAATCATGTACAATCGATGTTATTGCAAAAGCAACCTGAACATACCGAACAAGAACAGCAACATCAACCACAAGAACAACAACAACAACAACAACCGATCTCTGTTAATAGTGAAGAAGTGGATGATGTTGTTGAAAAAGTTATTGAATCAAATCAGAATAGCAATGATGGTGGTGAAGATGAATCTTCAAGTGATGAATCGTTTCATACGAATCCAGTCGATGATCAACAACAACAACAACAACAGCAATATGGCTATTATAATGAACCAAGACAACTGGAAAATATTGAAGAAGAACAAAGTAAGTGTTTAAAAAAATAAAATTTACCCCAATGAATAATACCTTTTCAATGATAATTGTTTTTTTTTGTAGATGAAGAAGATGATGAATCAAACAAAAGAAAAGATGAATTAGAAACAGTTTCACAAGGATTACGTGCAAAAGCACTTTATGATTATCAAGCAGCTGATGATACTGAAATTAGTTTTGATCCTGATGATATTATCACGCATATTGAACAGATTGATGCTGGATGGTGGCAAGGACTATCACCAAATGGTGCCTATGGATTATTTCCAGCCAATTATGTTGAACTTTTGGACAATTGATAAACAACTAAGATCTAACAATAACAACAACAACAACCGAAGCAGCAACATAGAATCTGTTATGATTTTTTTTTATTTATTTTTATTTTCATTTTTTTTTCTTTTTGCTTGTTTATCTGTCGATTTTTGCTTCCTATTGATATTTACATTAAATGATTTCATATTATCATTGATGAATATGATCTTCAATCTTGATGATAATGTTTGTTAAATATTTTAACCAATCATTTGATGTAGAATTATCATTAAGATTACAATTACAATCTAAAATGGCAAAAAATTCTTTTTTTATATGACGATTTTGTAACCATTCATCAATCGATTTGTTTGGTAATTGTTCGGAAAGTTTTCTATTTGAACTGCTACTAGTTTCTTCAAGACTAAAAATTGATCCATTTGATGATATTTGACTATATTTTCGATCAGGTTTACTTTGGTAAACTTTTGATACCATATTTATAGCATTAAATGTTTCTGGTGATTTCTAAGATTCAAAAATGAAAATATCAGGCATTATTTTCAATCAGCTTAATAAAACTTACCTGATAAAAGTGTATTGAATCAGACCAACATGCATAAACAAAAAAGAATTGATAATGTCGCCAAAAAACTAGATTCTGATTCTGTTGTATTGCTCGAATATAGGCATCTTGTAATAGTTGACTATAAAGAATATGAATATCAGCCTCAATAATGTTACGATGATCTTGAATAAAATGATTATCAATACGATCGACCAATATGAATGCCAATAAATTGCTGTATACCTGTAAACCTTGTAAATTATTCAATAAGGTTACATTACTTGAATATTTTAATCGAATAAAATCCAAACAGCTTTTAAAATTATTCATTCGGCCAATTTGATTGGAAATAGTTTGACTCAGTTGATGTTTACGATCAATAACCAATTGATTGGAATCATCGATTTGTCCATATAATGTTTTGAATACTTTTTCATATGTTTGATGAAGATTGTCTAACAACACCGAAAATATCCGATCTGTTTGTTCTTTGATTAACTGATCGGTTTGACTAGATCTATGGCTATGTGCTTGTTTAGCTAAACGATTCAGATTCTCTAATGAATCCATATTAAAAAGATGTTGTCGTCGTGGAAATGTTTCATCAAAATTTCGACACAAATATCGATCCATACTACGTATACATTTGATTAGATAATCGATTGAACGTTTTGCATTTTGTCGCCAATCAATAACAGTAGTTCGATAACCTGTTACCGAATTGATCAACGATGGTAATGAAATAATTAACAATGAAGAAATTTCGCTCAAACAAATTACATATAGATCTTCACTGATTAGAATTTTTCTGTACACATGTGGAACAGGTATAAAAGATGATGATGATTGAAGAAATACTAGACGTTGTGATTCAATTGAATAAGTTTGAATCGTATCGTTTTGTTTATCACAAGATGAGCTGGTTTTTGCAAGCAAAATTATCATACATAAATCATTTGGTTTTAATCGAACTCTAGTACTGCTGTATTTTTAAAATGGAGGGAGAGGGGACGAGATTAAAAAACAATAATCATTCATTCGACAAAACCAAACAAAACCAAACCGAACTTACCTTTCATATTTATAAACCAATTTATCACGATATAGAATGAAACAAAATGAAAATGTTTCTTTATGTTGAACATTTGCATCAAGTTTGAAAATTTTTTCCAATTTATTTGTTAATCGTTGACAAAGTTGATTAATATGATAACCAACATATAGTTTTTCGATACTCTATATGATAATTAATAATGTCAAAATTGAATAAATTAAAAATTCGATTAACCTGCCTTGATTATAAATGAAATTTGTAATGAATTTTCATTCCATTCATTTAACATTGAAAATAATGTTTGTTGAATTGATTGATTTTTAGCCACCAAATATATACCATTACCCGCCATAAATATGGTGGCTGCACAAAATGCATTAACTTTAAATTGATATTGTAAGATGAGAGTATTTTCTGTTTGTTCATCAGTAGTATCATCATCATGATCATTATGATGGTCTGTTTTAATTGTTGTTTGATGATCGTGTTGACAGATTAGATGCATGAAAATAAACTCTTGATACTAATTGAGGGATGAAAGAAGAAAAAAAATCAAAAAGTAAATAATACGAATAATAATCAATTTATGATGATAATAAATATACACTATTCGTTTACATTTTTACGGACGACATAAGTATCAGGTATCTGATCGAAACGGTGGTATTGACAACAAACATCATTATCATCGTTATCATTATGGCCATTACATTCACGAAACATTGAAACATAAGGAGTTAGGTAAACTGAAAGCCAATTATGAACATTATTGTCACTATCTTCATCATCGTCATCATTATCGTTATCATCATTAGATTCGTAACCATTCAACATATCATCTTTCTGGCCATTTACATTGGAAAATTGTAGTAGAATTTGTCGAAATTGTTGATCACAATGACTGAATATAAGATTATCTTTTGGATCAAATATAACAAACGAACTCATCGTATTTTTTTTGTCGAATGAATCGGGTGATTGAAAGGAAATTTTTTTTAACAAACAACATACGAAAATGTCGATCCAATTTATCCACTTGTTATTTGTTTGTTGTTCGACATGATGCTTCGTATACTGGCCTTTTGTATACAAGTTTGTTTCAACATAAAGCTATGCATCATCACCATCAACATTATCGATACGAGCAACTATAGCTTAAGATGAGTGTTGTTGTTATTATTATTATTATTGTCGTTTTTGTTGTTGTTGTTGTTATTGTTGATGATGATTATGATGTTCGATTAGATAATTGCCACTTTTTTTGTTTGGAAGTCATCATATCAGCCGTATATGGTGAGCAATACTCGATAATATCAGAAGTCGTATATTTCATTTGATGTTCAAAATATACATTATTTAATTGGCATCCATATAACAAAAAAAAAACAAACAATAAAATAGACAATAATGTCCATTCATTCATTAGAATTCTTTCGGGTCATGTAATTTGCTTTGCATGATTATTGATAAGATTTGTTGATTGAACAAAATTGATTGATTGATCGATAGCTAATGATTGAATGTTTTACCAGACCAGATCAAAATTATCTTAACACGAGACCATTGACGTCATTGATGTCTTTCGCTTTTTTAAAATGATTATTATTATTGACATTATCGTAAAATCAAGATTGAATCGAATGTTTTTTTTTTGTAATCGGAAATGTGGAAAAAATTTTCTTCAACTTGTGTTGCCATCTATGAATCTATTTGATTACTTTGAATCGAGTTTCATGACACTAGATGACAGCAGCAGCTTGATTGGAAATTATTTTTAAAATTTTAAAATTTTAAACAATTTTAAACAATTTAAAGAGAATTTTATCAATTTCTTTTTTTTATTTATTTATTTAGTAAGAATAATCTTTCGCATTGCATTATTAATAAATGAACCTAAATACAATATACGTTCATTTGGATAATTTGGTGATGAAATTTCACGTACTTCAGTCATTTTCGTACATTTATCATCAATAAAACTATTAAGAAATTTACCATTCTGATCGATTTCCAACATTAAACATCCTGGTTTTTCAACAATAGTATGTATTTTGAATGTTTTCAAAAGTTCAGCTGCATATTCGAGCCTTTCAAAAGGTATAAATTGATAAATAAATTCCAATATTTTACCAAACAAATGAAGTGATCTTATTATGAATCGTCGAATCGATGGATATCTCATCATAATATCGAATGAAAAATCTGGATTCGTTTCGCATCGTGGTCTTAACATTGCTAACCAAAATGTTTGACCATTTGCACTTAAACGAATATTATCCGTTTCTGATGCCATATGACTAATAATATTAATCATTTTAGGTTTTCCATTATTATTATCAAATGTACATTTACGAATAGAACGATTTCCAATATCGGAAAAAATAAAACCATTCTTATTACCGGGTAAACTTTCAATACCATTTGGAAATATAAGACCATCTTCAAGTACATCCAATTTACCGGTATCAGTATCATAACGTAATATTCTTCCCGTTCTATCTGGTTCAGCTAAAATCAAAACAAAATTTTCAAGCGTATATTTTGAACTTACATCGGTTATGTAAAGAATATGGCCACCAGTAGATTTTTCATACAGGGCAATATCATCGAAAAAAATACTTGTAGCACCAATTTGACCAGTTTGATCAATATCGAATACAAGATCAATGATGGGTGATGATGTAAATACATTTTTAACACGATAAATACCAAAATAAGGTTCCACTATCCATAGATCACCTTTAGAATCAAATTTCATTCCTAATGGTCTTGAAATACGTGTATAATTACTTGCAGCTAATTGTTTATCAGTAACTAAACGAAACAGACGTTTAACATTTGCAGGATTATTTAGATCAAATTCATAAAGATAACCATCCAATGCACCGGTTATCATTTTTCCATTTTTATAACCAATTGATTCTGGACCAGGTATTTCAGCTACAATTGATGAATATTTCATTTTTAATGTTGATTTATAATCATCAAGTGTTGCCGGTAATGGTATATTAACAGCTTCAGTATTAATATCAAACATTATTGATTCTGGTGTTAACATAATAAATGCAATAAACATTGTTAACATTACAATCATTCGGAATATGAATTTGACTAAACATTTTAATGCCATGACTAGTTGAAAATTATTTTTTGTTGTTGGTCGTCGTATTGAATCTTGTTACCCTTTCTCGTTTTGGTGGAATGACAAATATGTTGAAAAGAGACAAGTGATGAATAAATGTTTGAATAATGATGATTTATTTTTGTCGAATACAAAATGAAAATCAATCAATCAATCAATCAATCGATCAATGTCATTTGATGAAAAAATAATTTGAATCACTACTTTCTTATATTCAAAACATTATCAAATTTGTTTTCTTTTTTTAATCAAAATTTACAGTTAGCTTGTTTTTTTTCATCTTTTTTATATTTCTGGGTACTTTTTTGTTTCATTGATTGTCGATTTTTTTTTTGTGATTGTACAAATGCGATTAGAGATTGTCAGGGTTTTTTTTTTCTCAGCAAACACACACTTATACATAATAAATTAATTGAAAATCAAATCAAACCCAAATCAACATTATAAATATGGATAAAAAGAGAGAGAGTGAGATAGAGATAAAATACCAACAACAGCCAACAAGATACAGACATTTTGACTTGTTGTTGTTTTTTTTTCGTTTTCAGTCATTGAAAATTGAAAACATTGATTTTTTCATGTGTTTTAAAATTGAAATTTAACAGTGAAAAATATGTACAAAAAAAATAAAAAATAACCCACCATAATCATCATTAACATCATCACACAACACATTTATTTACAATTACATTATTACATAAACGTGTATTGGAATACAAAAGCAAAGCGAAAATTAATGTTTAAAACATTTGTCTTTTCTTCTCTTTTTTGGAAGGAAAAAAGTTGTACAAAATTTCATTCGTAATAGAAAAAAAAGATGTTTTTTGGCTTTCTTCTTCTTATTCGGAGAAAAACATTGATATTTGGATCGAAAACTTGAAATCCAAAACCCTAATTTGTAATCGATTTTAATCAACTTTTTCTTTCTCTCTCTCGCTCGGATTTCTCTTTCTTTCTTTTTTTTCTGTGATAAAGATTTAAAGTTTCGTTTCCCTTTCGTTTTTGTTGTTTTAACGTTAACATTTTTGTAGTATTATCTTTCTACATCTAATCATGATGAATCTATCGTTTTGAAAGCTTTTTTCTCCCTTCTTCGTCCTTTTCTAATAACCACCAGAGATAAATGATAGCAGCAGCAGCAGTAGCATCGATGAGATAAGATTTTTTTTCCATTCGTTTGATCGATGTTTGACGATTTGTTGAAACAGGAAAAAAAGAATTTTGTTTTTTACAAACAAACAGCAACAAAACACCAATACTATGATTGAAAGAATTGAAATTAATTGTTTTTAAATCAGATTAAATAGACAATTCGATCGATCGATCGATCGATTCGATGATTGTGATTGATTTTTTTGCATCGATCAACATCATTGATCATGATGAATCGATCGATTGCGATTGTCCATTATTCTGTTAATTTAATTTGTAGTTTTTTTTTATTCGGTTGATTATCATCAACATCATCAGGATTTTTCAAATATTAATCGGTTTCGCTGAAATCTTCAGTTTTTATTTTGGATCGGGTCATTCATGATGGACGATCGATCGATCGATTGATTGATGGATCAGTTTTCTGCGTGGCATTAAGTGTTTATCTGCTAGCTAATTGTCCGGGTTAATTCTTTTTTGTCGAATCATCATCAATAATGTTTCCCACACACAAACATTAAAAGCATCATAATCATCTTGTCTAGCAATTTTTGATCTTTTGATTCGAAAATGAATTACTGAAAAAAAATGTTCGGATTGATTTGATAATTGACCCTTTTTACTGGCCAAAACACATCTAGTATTTTTGTTGTTAAATAAAGTTTTAGTTGCAAAATTTCGGTTTCAATCAAATATTGAAACAACCAAAAAGTTTCATTTGATAATTTGAAGATGAAGAAAATGAAAAAAGTGGAACGTGTCATTTATACATGTCACGATTATTATTATTCTTGGCCAAAAAATGTTTGAATTCCATTCGCTGGTTCGTTGTTTTAAAGCGAAAAAAGAATATTTGTTACAAAAGTTTCTGTGATAAAAGAGTTGTTATAAGTTTCAATGTTTTCTTTTCGTTGATGGTTCATTATCAGAAACAATGAAACAAAACAAAAACTCTTGATACATATCGGCTAATGTAAACACAAAACATATGTTTGTCTTGACTTGGAGAAAACAAAAAGAAAAGACTTTATTTGCTAAAGAATGTATGCCTTAAAGGCTTTCTGTTATTTAAACATCATCATCATTATCATCATTTGGAAAACAAGTTACACAACAGAGTTAAAATAGTCAAACTATGTTTTAAAGAATATAAGAGAGACAATCAATTTAATACAAAGACAAGATATTCTTTGATAATGTTACAAGTTTAATATTTGAAAATTTCATATGGCGTGTGTGTGTGTGGGGGCCAGTGACAAAAACAAAGCGAAAAAAAAGTTCACAAACACAAATCTAAAAGTTTTTTCTTTTTCTTTCCAATTCTGTAGTTGTTTTTTCTTTCGGAAAAAATCATCGAAAACAATTCATTCATTCAGTTTTTTTTTTGGTAAATGAATCTCATTTCATCTTAAAATAACGATAATGTTAAGGCAATACAGAGATCCATACCAAATTGATGTTTTCCCTTCGTCGTCGTTGTCGTTGATGATGATTATGATTATTATTATTATCATTTATCTCCAGAGACAAACTACTGCGACTACTACTAGGTCCAATAAAATAAAATGAACATGGATGTTACAACAACAACAACAAAAACAACAAAATTGACATGAATGCTGGCAATAGAATCCAAGACAATCAAAGCTAAGCAAAGCCGTCATCATCATCATCATCATAATTTTTAACTGACTTGGATCAAAATTCTTGTTTTGTTGTTGTTTTGTTTTTTGCCAGAAACCAAAATCTTTTTTTTTCAAAATTTTGGTCCAAATGATGATAACAAGAAAGTAATTTGGATCTTATTTTTTGGTGTTGTTAAGCTTTTTCAATAATTTAACAACAAAAAAAAAGAAAAAGATTTTTTTCCCCCCCCAAAAATAGATATGGAAAATGTATTTTTTTTTGTGGGAGTAAGTCACAAAGTTTCAAATGTTCAAAAAAGGAAAGGGAAAAAAACAATGTTGTTTTGTCCATCAAGAACATGGCGGGAAAAATAAAAATTTGTGACCGAAAAATTCTACAAATGAATTGATGATAATCAGTTGGTCGGTTGGTGATAATGAATGTAGATAATAGTAATGGTGGCCAAGAGAAAAAAAATGATTGATGAAAAAATGAATATCGATTGTATCGATTAATTCGTTTTTCGTTTGTTGTTTTTTTCTTCCTTTTGGAAATCGATTGATAAATGAAATTATCGATAAAATCCATAATCATATCGTAAAAAAAAGAGAGATTACAGGAAAAACTACTAAAAAAACAAAATGAAAGGCTTATGATATGCAAATGAAAACGACAATGACATTATTATGATTTCTTTTTTTGTTTGACAATGAATTAATCATTGTCGTCAAGGAAGAAGAAGAAGAAAAAAGTTTTTGGTTTCTGGATCAATGCAATGGGTTTTTTTCTTCTATTTTATCGCTACTGCTGCTCACTTATCTTTGATTTTGAAACATTTTTCTCCATCAGGATGATGGTGTTTTGATAAATTGTTTCATTATTTTATTAAAAAGGAAAAAGGAATAATTGAAAATTCACAAAATCTGTTATCGTTTGAACATTGTTTGTGAATGGGATTTTATGCATGCTTGGTTGGCTAATTTTCAATTTTGACAATCAAAAAATTGATAATGATGATATCACTTTTATGAATGATAAAAATTTTCAAAAGAAATTTTTTTAATCTCATTTCCAGTGAAATTGAATTTTGTTTTCTTTTCTTCCAAAAATAAATAAATAAGCTAATGAACAATCAGTTGTTGGCTGTTGAAGAAGAAAATCCTCTTAATTTGACGGAGGGAAAAAAATGCATCTTTAAAAAAATCTAGCTAAATGGAAGCAATTGAAGAGAGAGAGAGAGAGAATCACAGAATTTATTATTTAAATTTGGTTTTTTTTTCTTTTCTGGAAAAAGAATCCAAAATCATTGGAAGAAGAAATAAACAAAACTGAATCCTAAATAAATTTTTCGTTTAACCCGAAATGATTCCATTCGAAGTACAACATTCAATTGATTGAATCAATGATGATGATACATGCAGAAATTAGGAATTTTTGTTTTGATTTGATGCTGATTCTAGAATTCTCTCTGATGTAAACTTAACAAATCAATGCTGTTGTTGATAAAGAATTTGTCATTTTGTTTGAATTTGCGATTCTACAGTGAAAAAAAAGCAAAACAAAACAAAAAAAAACTTTAATTAAACCAAAATTGCAATTGAATTCAAATTTCATTCCCAAACATAATCGGACAACAGATTTGTTAACAACAACAACCAAAGAAAAGAGATGAAAATCAATTTCAAAGTTTATTTTGCTACTGTAACGATTATATGAAATGAATGATGGTCAATCATTTTGTTTTAGATTGAATTGGATTGGTTGTTGAGATAGACAAAATGCATGAATGAGAAAGCAAAATGCAATAAGTAATTAGGCAATGGAATTCTAACAAACAATGATCAACAAGACATTTAAAATGTATGTATGTATGTTTTGTTGGAAAAAAGGGAAAAAAGCAGTTCAAATTCTTTTGCATAACGATTCTGTATATGTTTGACGATTTATTCAAAATGAGACTTTTATCGACTTTTCATAGCAATAAGCAAATGAACCAAATACACTCAATGTGTGTTTTAGTCTGAAAAAAAGAGTCATAGATTTTTTTTTGGTTTCATGAACGTGGATTCTTTCGTTTTTTCGCTTCTTTTCGATCCAGTCGATTCCAAATGAAACACAGACATAAATTCTGGATTCTGCTCCATACGCTGTGGATGAATAAAATGACGNGAATCCAAAATCAATGGAAGAAGAAATAAACAAAACTGAAAATCCTAAATAATTTAACCCGAAATGATTCCATTCGAAGTACAACATTCAATTGATTGAATCAATGATGATGATACATGCAGAAATTAGGAATTTTTGTTT